TATACAAGCAAAGTATGACTGTGATTAATTCTTATTAGGGACAGAGATACAGCTCATCTTTTTTATTGACATGCTCCAATAATTACCCCCGGCTAACCTTATTATGAGGACAACTTTACGGTCAGTTTATTGACCTTTCTGCTTCGCTGATCTACCCCTACTCGCTGTGATGTATTTTAATTGGGAAGTACTTTATAACCTTCTTTTAAAAAGCGTTCCACAAATAAGGTCATAATTTCTCTTTATTATGAATCCCTTCCTCTAATAAGCAGTTAAGTCAGCTACTGAGTACGAGCAAATTATGCAAAGAGGATGCAAATGATATTCTTCTGAGGATGTTGTCGCGTGTTGCTGAGTTTTTACTGTGTTCATAAGGAGAGAAAGGAGTCGTTCTGTGAGATTGTCAGATGAAGTGCATTGAAGCAGAAAACACAGGCTGACACAGAGACGGATACACACAAAGAGAAAGGACAAACAACTCCACGCTGTGGGAAAGAAGTAGGCATGCCGACTTCAGCACCGGAGTCACAGCCACAATAGACGGTCGAAAAAAATTGATTGAAAAGCAGCAAAGGAAGAGAGAGTGACAGAGACGCACCGCAGTCCATCCATCACGAACAGTTTAAATGGTTTAGGGTTGTCATAGTGACGTGTAAGGAAGTACAGAGGATGCTTCACGGCCAGGGAAAGTTGTTCGGAGAGTGAGATAATGTGGAAGAGTTGAAAAGTGAATTGATCATTTGGAGCTAGGAAATCTAATCGTGTGGACAGCAGACAATGAGCCCTTATGCCTTGTATTAGTGCTGATGGGGAAAAAATGAAGCACAGCCATAAAAGCCTCTCTGTGAACTTTAGACTGTGGTCCATATTATTGATGTGTAGGAAAAGTTTAGGCGTTTCATATTTTGTGATGTCTTTGGGCAAAATATATAATCACCACTATGTATTGATTTTGAATGTGGTTTCTTGAGACCGGACTGTTATACACTACTGTTTAGCAAATTTTAAAATCTGATTTTAAATTCAATGAATGTATCTAATATTGGGAAGAAATTAAAACCAGCAGTGGTGCAGGTATTTTGCTTGCTTGAATTTTTGGTCCCAGATAATTTGCTTGTTTTGTTTCGGTTGCCTACTGTGATGAAATTAATTTTTTTAAATGTTTTATATTCTTGATAATTAAAATTAAAAAGCATGTTGTATACTTTCCTTTTTTGCATTTTTATGTTGTGACAATGTGGTCCTATTATGAGTGATTATATCACTGATTTTGTTTACTCAATACATATTTTTCAATGTTTTTTGGGAAGGATGATGGAAAACCCTGTTTTTATATTTTGGAAATAATAACAAAAACTTGTTTGAGCAGCATCCCTCTCACTACCTCCCGTCGGCCACATGACTCCTTTAAAGTTCAAATCACATGACGTCAAACGGAAGTTTCAAAGAGCGGAACCCTCAGTCTCCTCTAATTAGGCTTGCTGTCCGTCTGCATAATCTCATGTATGAACGCCACAGCCAAATGGGAATCATCACTTTGTTCTACACCATCTTTGACTCCTAAACTCACATGTGGATGTGAGGAAAGAATTTCATAACACATTCTAGGCCAGAACAACTGCATTGAACAAACTGCACCAAGCTAACTCAACATCTGTCTTATCTTTGAGTCTTTGTTTACACGATATTCATCTTCTCTTTTGTCCTCTCTCTGACATGAATTGTATCTCTACACTTCCTGTCAGCATTTGATCATGCTGCAGACACATGTATATAAATGAGTCTGTACTGCTTTGTTTTGCATCTTATTAAATAACAAGACGGACCAATGTTTCATTTTTGTGTTTACCTCAAATATTTTTCATACAGCATTATCTAACATTGTATTTGCTATTGAATATGTAAGGGATAATGTATATCTGCTTCCGCCCTGACCCCTCCGCTGAGCATCGGGGTCCGCTTCGCCCTGTCGGTACTCATTTTCCGATAATGACCTGCGTACTATACATTATCCCGGCATTATTCGGCTTTGTACCAACAGAACACACAAAATAAACTTCAGTCCACTTTTAGGAATACCGAAAAATGTATTTAATGACAGAAAATAAAATGGCTCCCAAAGGCTTTCCTGTGGCTATGCGAGTAACAGTTAGGCTAGCAACTTCCAAACTAGAACGCTCTCGAACTGCATGAAAACTGAACAAAGAATTCTGAACATCAGCGGTGAGCGACCCAAACATAAACTTAACCTAAATCCATAATTCGATCCTCTGCAACTGTGTCCTAAAATGTCCAGGAATCTACTTCTGGGTTTTTCGCGATCGCTTTTTCTCGCATTAAAACAGTATTTTTATCATAAACCTTAACAGATACTTCTGAAAACCTCCATGCATGTGTAATAAGAATGTACATGTATCCGATTAACATTTAAATGTGTTGATTGATTGGTATTTGCGTTTATTGAGCGTGGCTAGCTCCGGAGTGGCCGGAACTACTTGCGGAGTAATCTACACATCTGAATTACAAGCAGAGGTTGCATTGCCATGGGCAGCGTCATTATTGTTTTGAGAGGTCGGTTAGCAAGAAATAATGACTGGTTGAACGTTCTGAAATTACATTCAGATCAATGGAGCGTTCTGCTGCTGCTGTGAGGAGCCGTGTAATATTGTGACTTATTAATATATTCGGATTCATTTGTGCTGACTGCATATACCAGACACACAAGTTGTACTATTTTTGTGATTCTGAGCTTCCATTTATTTCCTATAAAAGGATGGTTACTTCGTTGCGACTACTGTCCATAGACTGTAAATCGGAGCTAGCCACGCTTAATAAATGCAAATGCCAATCAATTCTGAGATTTCTGACTTCAAGGTCAAATTCATAAGATAAACACATGGTGTGTACAAGATACCACCAAATATCAAACAAAATGTCAACTTTTTATGTGAATTTGTTTTATTATATGATTGCATATTTTACATTGTAGTGTCCCAGTGGCTGTAAGGGTGGACCAAGCTCTGATGATCCAAAATGGCGGCCTATTCAAATCAATGGCTTGCGCTCAGTGACTCATAGGAACACCATGGGCACCGAAAGATTAGCGGAACTCATCTGGTCCTCCTGGTTTTGCGCAGTGGATGTGAACCCATGATGCTTTGCGCCAAACATGTGTGTGTGGCTCGAATGCACATGCACAGAGAGGCATGGCAGCGTTCTGACCAATCAGAGCGGAGCCTGAGCAGGAAGTAACAGAGTTTGTTGTGCTAACGTGTGGATTTATAGAAAACTGAAGAATCAAACAAGGAATAAAGTTCAGGATAACAAGAGACACTAGAATATCCTCAAACATAATACCACAACACTTTATAAAAGCTGATGAGGTTTGGATTCGAATCGGTGCTTCCATTGTTCAATCCATTACTCCTTGGAGGTGGTGACTAGAAAAGTAGCTCCTTGAACGTGCACCCCTGGAGTAGGTAGGTGTAATCGAACTCAACACCCGCGGCCCGGCAAGTAAGCACGTTGGAACACGCAGCACCGCAACAGCACTTAGTATTATTTAGACTTACTGTATATACAAATTAAACATCAAGGCAGTTTGCAGTTGCTTCTTAAAACAGAAGTAGAATCGTTGACTATTGTGGAACTAGTCGCGCTATGGATAAACTGGTATAGTGACAACCCAACTATTTACGACTCACCGCCTTATTGAAGTGCCTTTATAATAGTACAAAAGCATTTGTATGGTCCAGTCGCTTTTCAGGTACCTTTCCTTCCGGGGAATGGAAAAAGTGTGAGACACCTTTATTCTTGTTGGTTCTTGCTCTTCATTTTCTTTGCTTAAACCCTGCTGCTTTTATTCCCTCAAATGTCTTGAGGGCACTAAAAGCGAACGTGCTTTAGTTTTGTAAGGTGACCCCTATTTCCCATCAGCACATTGGCTTTTCTGTTTGAGGCCAATGTAAATGGATGGTCCATCAAAGACCTATCGAAAAGAGTAAGCCCTTTAAGCCCCGTAGACACTGTCGCTGTTTAGCTCTGGTTGTGGCCCTGAATTTTTTAATACGCTTTCTCTCCATAGTGGTTTTCCTTGATTCTTAACTTTCAACACTTCATCTTAATTTCTGTCTGGAAGAACCCCCCCAAAAAACCTGGGGTCTCAGCGGGATCCCATGGCCGTTGTTGAAATTTGAGCTTTCTCATTAACACATTATTTGACCACGGGACACAGGCACCTTACCAGGAGCTCTTATAGGCAGTGCATATACTGCTGAGAGAATGGCGAATGCGAGTTTTTTTTTTTCTTCTATTCTTTTTTAATCCTCAGTGAGTAGGCCATATCTGAGACAACCTCAAGACAAGGCCCGCAGTGGGAGAATTTCATTTTTCAGGGCTGCACCTAAGAACTCCTATTAATTATACATCATCCCGTCAAGTCAGAGTGGCCTATGGGATAAATTTACCTTAGTAAATGTGTTATCATTAGGCAGTCAAGTGGCCTTTGGAAATGACAACTATAAAAATAACAGTTATCCATATAGTTAGATATTACCTGTACTTCAGAGTAAAATTCTCCGTAATCCCATCACAATAATGGATTTACAAAAACCTTTCTAACATAGGTGGAGATCTCCATTCCTTCGTCAATCAAAGTTTACCAGCGCTTCCAATATTACAATTTTGAATAAGAGTGAGAAAATAAGATTGCAACATGCACTTGAAATAAGACTAAATCGGCTTATCCCCTATTGCGCAAGATCAGGTTTTCAAGGACAGGTTAAGATGTACTCCAATTAAGAATAAAAAAACCCTTGATTTCAATCAAAGTAGTTAACCGTCTTATAGTTTCAGTGGGCCCAGCAGATCCAGTAGTTGCAGTGTCCATGGATCATTCCTGCCTCACCCTTCACTCCCGTATTTATTTAAATCCCCACTGGTGGGTGGGGGTTCTATTATAGCGTTCCTTTATGTCGACAACGTCTAAATTCCCGTTTCAGTTGGTCAACACGTCCATTCATCAGATCCTACACAGCAGGTGTGGGATCCCAAGGAAGGTAAATGTATTGTATTACAGTAGATACAAACTAATATCCCACAAAAGGGAAATTGTTATTAATGCTTGAACCGTCCTGTCTAACCAGCTCAGTCCACTATTGCATATTTATTATATTTGCTGAAGGCTGAACTGATGCCTTAGAGGTTTGTGAGCTCCTGAGTGCTGTGCCTTTTGATGTTTATGTAAGTTTCACGTGTGTCTGTCAGTTGTCCGAAGCCCAAGACAGGACGCTGCAAGGCCTGAATCGAGCAGTAGATTTACAAAGAGCTCAAAGGCAAAGACCCCACAGCAGCATGAAATGGTGAAAAAGATCGAACAGGTGAGACTGACGACAAGCCTGTTATTCAGTACACTGATTTGTTGCCATTTAAGGGGAAGTCATTTTGTTTTAAAAAAGCTTTGATCCAAGGGTGAAAGGAATTGTGTGTCACGTTGCAAGTCAATGCTGGAGGTGAGGCTAGCCGAGCGAGTGACGAGCAACAGTTTCCCAGGAAAAGACCTCCTCGTGGTGCAACGTGAGCCGCCTGAATGATTGCCCCTGAGAGAAGCACGTGGGCAACTGCAACAGAGGACCGACTCAACGCAGCGCTAAGAAGGTTAGTATCATTTTTGAGTTAGACCTTTATGAAAAGAATACATGAAATAAAAATTAATGATAAATCTTTGTCAAATAATACCACAGTCCACTAGTGGCATTATCTTTCAAACTGTCCATAAATGTGGTATGCCACACAAATTAATCTATGTTTTGTATGATGGATAATAAAAAATACAATTAAAGACCTAAGATAAAAAGTCCAGACACCCTACGATTTGGAAGGTGGGAGCCAATTTCTTCTGGAATACAGACAACGTTTGAATTGAGTGGTTTGGCCTCATAGATAAGCTTTTAATATTTTACCGCAATTTTGTTGGATTACAAAATATACAATTGAGATTGCAGCTGAAAATGTGAGAGTGAAATGGAATGCATCTCTGGCTCTACACCCCCATTTTGAACTATAATCGGTTGAAATTATATAAGGTCTAGTAGTTTTTAAACAAGATAACTAAAAAGAGATTTTTTTGTATAAACATGGGGAAGTGATTCATTTGTCACGTCAATCAAGTTAAGGCAGCAATAGTGAATTTTATATTTATTTCCTATCTACCTCTGATTCTCAATGAAGAGAAGAGGCTTCAAGTTAAAGGCTCATTACGCAGCATCATATATCATTTCACTACTAAATAAAGTAAACATCTGTGTTTAGCATGCGTAGAGCGCCATGATCTCAATGAGTAAACACAAAAATATATAAGCATTACAAAAATAGCAAAGAACAAGCAAAACCTAACTGTAATCTTTGACTACAACTGAAAATATCTTTCAACCGGTGAAACATACGCCCAAACAACGCGTGATCCAAGTACAGACTAAGTAATCGGAGGTTCGAGATTGCATTGGAGGTACCTAAATAGCTGCCATGTGAAAGATCATGTCATAAAACGATGTCACCCCGAACCCTGTACCTTCACTAGTATTCAAACTATCATTTATTGTATAAGAAATGTCGGTACCGGTCACCACCTTTAAATGAACAATATATTTTAATTCAAGAGTTAGTTTATTAGCATATCCATTTTAGAAACTTTTTTTCTGGGTTAAGGTGGCTCCAAGGCGATCTAAGATCCAAATAAATAGAGTTTGTGCTCAGTGGCACATGTGACGGCAATGGGCTCCAAAAGCTTATTGGAACTTTGCCTATATTTGGGGCATCGTCTGGTCCGCTGCTGATCAGTAGCGGAGCTAGAGTTGGAGCTAGAGTTGGAGCGGGTGCCAAACGGGCAGAGTTTGTGACACTAAAGTGTGTATTTAAAGAAAACCGAAGGATTTACCAGAGAAAAAAGTTCAGGATGACCAGGGACACTAAAACCCCCACAAAATCCGACCTTTAATGAAAGCTGTAGGTTCTCTGTCCAGCTGAGGTTGAGCTGGTATTAGTTTACATTGAGTTCCACAGGGAAAATTTCTGGGTAGCCCACGTGAATTTAGTCTTGTTTAGTCTGCAGTACCGCGAGAATCCCCGAGCACGTGGGTCCTTCAGCTCCAAGCTAGTAATAAAGCTATCCAGTTGTTAGTTATAAATAGATCCATGAGACAAACACATAGATCTGACTTTATCTGGTATAGCATCCTCTGGCCTGTATTGTCCTCCACACTTCTCTATAAACTTCACACGGGTAGCAGCAGCATCCGCTGTGTGTTGGGACGTTAGTCACTCATGTCTCTTTAACTATGTTGTAATATGCCTTTTTTCTTTGCTTTGATGCAGTTGAATGAGATGCGAGCCAATATCGTCGACACAAGCCACAAACTGATGGCGACTTCAGCTCACCTGGCCTCGAGACAGGCTCTGGTTTTGATTCTGCAGCAGGACATCAAGGACAAAGAACTGCAGGTCACACACTGCACTCCCCACATTGGGACTTAGTTTTATGCAGTAATGATTGTTTTTGTGACATTGCTTTGTGCTTTTGTTAGGGTCAATAGCCACATGAATAACCACCAGAGTCGATTGTTATAATTTTGGTATTTATGTTAAACGTTATTTTTTTCATCTTTTATTTTAAATGTGTTTTACACAATACAAGATAAGAACATACTGTAGATCAACAGACACAGATCCAGGGCAGAAGCAACTGAGATTTTGAATTGTAGATCACAGTACTGACTTTAACATTGAAGTGTCAACCATTCAATGTAAAGTCATAAAAATTATGAATGTTTTTTCACCATTGTCCTTTGGATGTATTTATTAAGCAAACTTGACACACAGGGGAAAGGCGGAACAATAGAACCGTTTATTTTTCCACACTATTGCCGCATTTGCTGACGACATTTTATTATAACTGTCTAAACTTGAAAAACTACTTAAATTATGAGAAATAGCATTTATATATATATATAAAAAAAGACCACTATAGAACCAGTTGAATAACAAGTTTTTTTTTTTCTTTTCTATTTAGGTGTTGATGAAGAATGATGTTAATGAATGTGACACTGGTATCTATGACAACTATACACTCATGATGAATGTAAACAGTTTGATTAGAATTTAAAAATATCTTTAGTTAGCTAACTGTAGTTAGGTAAAAAGTTTATTTTTCATCCTTCAATTTGTGGAGCATCTTAGCAGCATCTTAGCAGCATTTAGCGAGGACATACTAAGGTCAGCATGTTTATTTCAACATTGACATTTAATTACTGAGTGTTTAGCCTGGTACAATGCATGGCCAGCACCAGTGTTGAAACAGTGGAATGAATAGTTGAAATAGACAATGTCAGATAGTCAATAAGAAATCTCATAGTTAAAAACCATCTTGTTTAGGTAAGACATAATATTTCCTCCCTCAACACTCCTTCTCAGTGTCAGACTTTGCATATAAAATGGATTTATTGAAATGTGAGATAACCTTAGGACCCCTGCAGATGCTGTTTGCCTGCAGCTCTCCGTCCAACTCGCTTCAAACAGCTACATTTAGAGATACAACTTTGCCCACGACACTCCGGCCACTAATGCCACCATGCGATGTTTTCGTTTGATGTGTGGACACAAATAAAGACGTTTGGCAGCGGTGTGGATATCTCCGGTGTGACGAGAAGTACAAATGAATCTTGTGTTTTCTTTCTTGGCCTCTGTGTGCTTTTTTCAGAGGACAGATCCAGGAGGCGGCGGAGCAGACCTTCCTCCTGTCCCGAGAGGAGGAAGAGAGTGGCGGAGGATGCTGCTGGACAAGAGGAAAGATAGGCAGAGGGACAGGCAGGGAGAGAGTGAGGGTAAGTACATATGACACTATAATGACCACGTTTTACCTTGCTGTGGAATTTACAAATAATACAAATATCCATGAATCCTCAGCATGATCAGTTTGAAATCATTGGTTGAATGGGATGTATCGTATTATAAAACTACCAACCTGTGCTGGTTCAGAGAGCTGTTTGCTTTGATTTGATTTCCTTTACCACAGGGCTGTGTAACCTTGGGTTAACCCGTGGTTACCGTAACTCTGAGGTTATGCTCATATTTAGTTGACTCAGTTTTATTTTTCAACAAACCGCCTTATGTAATGGAATTGCATCAACTAACCATTTATGACTTTTGGCAAGAGGGCAGAACCAATATGCTGAGATTCGCATGTTAATTGCACAAACACAATGCAACACTCAAAATATATGGGATGAATCATTGGTATATTAAAAATAGGTACACCTGCCTGACTGCGTATTCCTGGGGAATTATGCCAGGAGCCAGGCCTCCAAGCACCCGTGGCCAAGCCCTACGTGGTCTGGCAATGTGGGTCTCGCCCTCCTGTGGCCTTTCCTAACCGCATTGACTGTGGCGAAAGCGAGTCAATTTACTGGTCATTTTATGTAAATGACAAGACTTGAGTTGTGTCCCACTGCTGCTCACATTGAGAGAGCGCCAATTTACTAAGGTGGCTTGGTCTCTGCTCAACTGCTATTAATGAAAACATATAAAAAATTTATGTAACCAAGTTAAATCAGCTCTGTGTTTTAGCCTAACTCCATCAAATTGAAAACTCTCTCCGGCTCATTCCAATCGTCCTCTCCAGGGCCAAAAACATCTTGAAATGTTTTGCTAAATAACGTCTTAAAACCATTGAGTACCTACTTCAACATGTCTAGAACGAGGAAGATTAGTTGGTGTATAATCCTGGTATACGTTCTCGATCATTGCAGAGAGGGCAAATGCACTTATAGCACAGGCGGCAGGCACGAGCAGTACACATAACACAGACAGCTCAAATATCCCACTAAACAAAAGTGATGACTGCGGGCTGCCATTTAACCAGCCTTCAGCTGATCATAACTGGCCCCAATTTCGAAAAGCAAGACCCTGCATGTTAACGAGCTGATAACCCTAGCCCAAAACAAATCCTTCTTTTGAAATAAGGAAACTGTGTGCCAATTTTTATTAATGCTGCTATATTTCATCACGTTCTGTTACTATGAATTATGGGCGGGGCTAATTCTTCGTCCAATATATGTGATGCTAAATGTGTGGGTATGTGAATACGAAGGTTTTCAGCTGTGTCATGTGTCCCTGTGTAATATTTTGGGATATAAAGAGCGGGTTTTGATTATTAGTAAAGCCCAAAGCAAAATTGCAAAGAAATAGAAAAGAAACTGGAATCAGCACTGCAACTCTCCGTTTTAGGTCTTGCTTTTATATTTATATTTGACCCTCTTCAAGGTGGTGAGTCCACAGGAGGTACCATGAGCAGTCTGTGGATATTCCAGGCTGACATTCCCAATGTGGCCCTTATGAGTAAAAGTGTTGCCTACCCTGTCTAGAAAGGTTGGGAATTTAATGTCGTTTAGGTTTTGGCCAAATGGCACCTCCACGGGAGTTCTAGTGTTAATTACACCGTCATGTCACCTGATCAAAAAGCTGTGAATCAGAGTAAACTAAAAAAGTCACTTGAAGACAGACATAGACTTGTGCCCTCCAGACTTAGCCTGTAAACCTGCCACAGTGGGTACAGGTTTTCACTGTACCGCTTTGATCCGTGTAAAGAGGCGTAGATCGGAATGAGCATTAGTTTTACGAGGCCGTCGCATACACTCATCAGGAAATAGTTAATAGTGCTGAATGTGTTTATGACCTGTTATTGTCTGCGGAGAACTGTGCCCGGTAATACATCCAAAAAAAGTGGAAATGCATGAGAACTAAACCGGTCCCACTCCTTCACATGTTTTGTAAGAGTTGGTGGTGAATATGAAATGGCATCTATAAGACCACATCCAGTAATTTTGTACGGAGTCCAACACTACAACATTCTGTACAATGTCTCAACTATTGCTTTGCTGAATTGAGTACTCAATCAATTATTGAAAAAAATGGGTTTGGGAAAGCCTCCATCTGGAAACCAGGCATAATTCCATGCTTGTTTCAACACCTGTAGACAAGAAGAAATTCATTTGCAGCATGAAAACAACGGTTTGGAAGAAAAAATAATAAAAGATATGTATAAGGGATTGTAGATTCTGTATCTCTGGATATGCAATGTACCCTTGTTTTATAGCAAGGTTACACTCAAAAAGTAACCCGCAATAAGCAAATTCCATGAGTACAGCTACAGGTATATTTTTATGTCTGTCAAAACTCACTCCAAACTTTAGACACTTTTTCTAGTAACTGCAGAAGTGGATCACCAGAGAAATCATAATATAATAAAAATTTCCATTTTAATTATAATGCACATTGCATTTTCAATTAAAATCACGAGAGTGCTACAGAACAGGAACATCCCCAAGAATACACAACATACAAAAACAAACACAATATAACCTGTCTGAGCGCTGCTGCAGCTGTCGAAAGCCGGCATACACCGAAAAATACAGCTGCAGAGGAATGTGGTAGTACCTCTAAACTAGTCCACCGCGGTGCACACAAACAAAATGTTTTCTTCTCTGAAATTTAGAAATAGCCGTGAAGCTCAATACATAAATCACTGATTGGAGAATTGGGGTGGGACTAAATAAGAAGTAATCTTCCCACTCCCTTTCAGAAGCATTAGTAGTCATACACGCATTCACTTTTAGTCCATTATCCTTGTTTTTGATAAAAAAATTTAACTTTTATTTTGTTTTTCCACCAGACTTTACTTATTTTCTACCTTACTTGTATCAGGCCACTGCCTGAAATAAATGAATTACAACTGTCATTTAACTGTCATGGTAACCATGCGGTTTCTGATGGAAAACACAAGAAAACCAAAAAGCAAAACTGCAAAAATATTAAAATTTAATAAATAAATGGCACAAGAAAAATACATCCAAAAGTAAAAACCAGGGACAAGAATGTATCGACAACAAGAGGACAGAGAAACACTCACAGGGAGACACACATCAAGGCGGGGCAAATGATCAACAGGACAACAGGAAGTAAAACAGTAATAATTGACAGATATCAATATTTAAAAATAAAACTAGATAATCAAATGTATAAAAGAGATTTACCCACATTTTAGAAAATAACCACCCTCTCCACTTTTTGAACAAAACTCTCTGGTCTTATTTGTCAAGCCAGTATTCAACTGAATGAATGACAATTGGGAGACCAATAGTCTTGGAGTGACACTACTGTACATGTTAGCAAGCATGGGAGTGACACTACTGTACATGTTAGCAGCATGAGAGTGACACTACTGTACATGTTAGCAGCATGAGAGTGACACTACTGTACATGTTAGCAGCATGAGAGTGACACTACTGTACATGTTAGCAGCATGAGAGTGACACTACTGTACATGTTAGCAGCATGAGAGTGACACTACTGTACATGTTAGCAGCATGAGAGTGACACTACTGTACATGTTAGCAGCATGAGAGTGACACTACTGTACATGTTAGCAGCATGAGGTTCTGGGCTAAAAGAGACTACTGTATAGAAATGGGATGCTACTGCAGAAATACAACACAAGCAAGCTGCAGCGATCATGGGCTCTCTCGTTAAGTCCAATGTTATGATTATTTGATTTATCATTTTTTTTAGCCATCCAACCTCAGCTTTTTGTTTGTGAGTTGTCATGCTTTACATTTCAATTATGGATAAATAATTTAAAGTTGGAGTACCTAACTTTGAAACCTTAGCAAAATAGGGATATGGTAATACTCGTCTACTGCAACTTCAGTTACATAGAAAGAAAAGGTTATATGTGACAAAGCGGCAGATGAACTCCCACAAGATTAACATGGCTAACACAACATCAGTAAATCACTTCTACTCTGTGTAGAAAAAGAATCTATCATCAAATGTGTAAATCTTAAATTATGTAACAAACTTCCACAGCTCACTCCATAAAAGGATCACGTGCGTCACACAGATAAACATAAAACAGTAATCTTCTCGCAACTACTAATGCACTGGAGAGGCATTTGGATAAATGAAAAACATAATGTATCTTCGGATTATTAAAATCTAATTTTTCTTTAGAATGGCATCACAGTGACTGAGTGGATACTCTCGCTTCTCAGCAAGAAGGTCCAGGGTTCGAATCCCAGTCAGAGCAGGGCCTTTCTGAGTGGAGTTTACGAGATCTCTGTGTGCTTGCATAGGTTTCCTCCAGGTGTACTGGTTTCCCCGGTTTCCCCCACCACTAAAACATGCACATTAGGTATGAATGGTGTTGGTTGGAGGTGTGACATGCCAGTGTGTTCGGTGTCTCGCTTTCGTCATCACCGTGTGGATGGAAACATTTCTGATTTCTGAACATTGTAAAGTGCTTTGGGTGACCTTGGTCTGTACAATGTGCTATATACTTACTTACTTATAGGAGCAAGCCCCTTTAGATCAGCTTTTTCAATGATCCCCCAATCGTTCTCAGTATGTTAAAGATATTTTCTGATTATAATTAGATGGCATGCTGTGGTCTGATCTCTAGCTTTAATCTCATCCAGCCAGGATCCTTTTTGCATGGTAACACCGGCACCTTTCGGTTTGTGCTATTGTTGTAACTTATTGTATTTAATTTTTTTGATGAATAATGTGTTGTGATTTTTTTTTTGCTAAATCTTATTCTGCGAAAACATGATATGGCATTTGTTGTACTCCAAGACAAATATAGTTGAGAGAAAACAAGTTAATTCACCTGTAAATACAGCAGCTTTATTACAGCTGGAGAGGCTTGGGTGCTGCTGGTTTGCGGATGTGTCTCATGTTGGCTCCTGAGGGCATGGGTTTGAAAGGGGCCAGGGCTCCATAGGGTTTGGGTACCGGTAGGTCTGACCCCTGAGGGATGTAGGCGTCTGGGCGGATGGGGGCTGTAGTGAACGCTCCGTTGGGCAACTGCTTCCATTCATCCTCTTGGGCCAACTACAAAATAATACAATAAATACACACAGTGAAAAGAAACAGAAATATTTTATTATCACCACAGTTTAGCCTTTCTTTGGATTGTTTTGGTTATGTTTTTTATATTTATTTTTTTCATGGCGGAACGTCATAAAAAAAACTGTAGAGTTCAAAATATTATCCGAGAGGGACAAGTAATAAAATCTATGCGACTAGTTCCTGGCTTTCAAAACCGTTTGGTTCTATCACTAGTGTTCACCTACATATGGTTAGCAAATGCCCTTTTTAAATAAATCAAATAATAAAAAAAATAGTACCAGCCCTAACACCATCAATCTTAGTATTTGCAAGATCAGTAGTAAGATAAAAGACAGCAGTTAATGTCTGATTTGTTAAAAACATTCTAATTAAACACGTCTCTTTCAGTTGAGATGAAGAAAATGTAGTGGTATTTATGAAACAATAGAAAGTGAGGTACTCCAGCTTTAAGTAGATATTATTATTAGAATGGCTACAGCAATGTGGTATTGGCTAACATGTGTGTTTTCTGGATATTTTCCTGTGAGTTCGAGGTTTGATTTTTCTTCTTCAATTGAAAGGAGAGCATTACAGAGATAAGGGGGAGAAACATCTTGACAGAAAACGCAGATCCTGTGTCAGCAAACGATCTCGCTGCTGTATGTCTTTTATCTGAGCATTAGGCATTTCACTTGTAAACTTTAAAGACAATATCACTCATGGCAGGAAATGTTTTTATGGTGTTTCTGTATGGGATTTTGAATTGAATGAAAATGTCTTGAGCACAGCACATTTTAAAGTGGACATATCGTGTTTTCAAATAATTGATTTTTACATCTAAATCATTAATTTGTGGCCTATATAAAGCATAACTGCAATGCCTGGGTCTGAGTCTCATTATTTGTAGCTCCACGGGCCTTTCTTCTACACCTGTTCTGAGGTGCGTCTGAGAGCAACCTGTTTTGGTAATGTCTCTTTAAATGCAAATGAGGCGCTTTTGACCACGCCCCCATCCAGGTGACACAGGTTCAACTCCACCCCGAGCGGCCATTTTTGTAGTTACTAAGCACAAATACAATTATCTCATAGAAACTTCTCATGAAATTGCAAACATGAAGCAGGCCTTCCTCATTGACTGAAAGCAAATGTTAATTTTCATTCTTAGTCCAGTCTTAATATCGACTCTTCTCTTTTTAGCTTTGGGATCCATGCGCACAGTCTATGATGCTCACACGCCGGTTTGTTTACAACAGCGGCCGCCCGGCGCGGGCCTACGTCGCAGGATATGACGCACTACGTTGACAGAAATGTTTAAATTGAATATTACTTATGCACAATTTTACAGCATTTAAAAACTTTAAGAACGTTTTTCCTTCTACAGAAGGAAAGAGACGCATGCGCCTCCGGAGCCGCAGGTTGCCGACTCCTAGTTTATACAGTATGTGGAAGCAAATACTGTAGAGCAGTGTCTCCCAAAGTGGGGTCCGCGGCCCCCTGGTGGGCCGCGAGGGTACTGCAGGGGGGCCGCGGGAGGTCATAACAAAAATAAAAAAATAATATAATTATTATTATATATATTATGTTAAATTTATAATGTTTTGTTTGTAATATTAAAATATTTGTGTTCATTATTTGACTTGAATAATCCACTGTAATCATTTTTGTATTACAATGTTTGTAGCAGAGGCTATTTCCCCAAAATAAAATAACCAGAAGAGCCTATTCTTAATGTTGTCTTCTTGGTTATTATTTTGGGGGGCCACGCAGACCCGTCAGATTTTTAAGGGGGCCTCGGTGTTACTGAGTTCGGGAATGGCTGCTGTAGAGGATCAGGATATGTGCAGTTTCAACAATAAAATAAAATGCAATAGTCTACATTACAAGAGGGTAATGAACATGTCTCAGAGTGAGGGAGGTGGACACAGACAACACTATTGTTTGTTACAGGGATGAGAATTGGTCAAAAAAGACTGAAATGCATATTGTCAACCATTTGCTGGCTCTAAATCTGTTTAATTTGTTCACAACATATTACTTTTGGGCTCAAACATGAACTTTTTATTCAATGCAAAATGTAGGTATCAGAGCTTTATTTAGGGCGTTTAATCGCGCTTCGAGAGGAGAGGGGAGACGCGGACTGTTTCCTGCAGCAGTGTATTTATTGGGTGCACAGATTACTCAAAGACACGCATGGTCCTGTGCGCGTTTATGGGGTTGGGTACATGGCCACGTTGAGGCTGCGCGCTCAGCCACAACACGGTGGAGCGGCTGTGAGCGGCTGGACGCTCACAGCCTCTCGCAGCCGCTGGACGCGGAAGCTGCTCATTACAAAGCGGCCTCAGATGCCCCGGAACACTGCGGCCGCTGTGGTGGCGGAATCCCGTTCAAGTACATACAACAGGTGCCCCGCGGATACGCGCGCCCCGCTCAAAAAATTCTCAACGGATTTACACTTCTCATAAACATGTGTTTTGTATGAGGCAGACAGACCGGCCCAAATATGGGCATCGGCCCTTTGGGCATTGCCCGGTACGCCCGATGTCCAGTCCAGCCCTGTGCGCTGGCATCCTTGAGCTTGGACTACAAATTCGAAGTGATGCACAGTAGAGGAGGGCTGGGCCAAAGTGTTTTGTTAGACGCCCATGCCCTTATATAGCAGTCTCGCTGCAAATACTGTGACGTAATAATTCTAAACACGTAATAGAGAATGGCAAAATCAGAACGGGTTGAAATATCTTACCTAAACAGAATATGAAGTGTTCTCTGCAACCCATGAAGAGACTGATTTCAACTTTTTTGCACTTCTAGAGGCTCCAACTACACAACATAAGGCATTTAAGGCACAAAAAGTGGATTTTTCATGATATGTCCCCTTTAACAGCCAACTGCATTGTTAAACTATGTAAACTATACATATTTATCACTAGTTTCACTCAAACCCAAAGCTCTTCTTTAAATGTATAAATCTTTAAATGTATAAAAAGATGACAGCATGTTGTGAGCTGATTTGTTCACGATATTTTACAAGACTCTTTCTGTTGGTACAATCACCATGGATTATTTATCAGGGGAATAAAATAAGCATCTCAGTTTTAACTTACCAAGAAGTAGTTTACTTGACTTCAATATGCTAGTGACAACAAAAGTCTCAAATATATATATATGTATATACATATATAGATAACACATATATATATATATATATATATATATATATATATATATATATATATATATATATAACACATTATATATATATATATATATATATATCGGTTCCCAATGGAACCGATAACGCTGAACGAGGCAGCGACTGACCTGAAAGCTAAGATCATGGCTAGAATGGGCACAGGGCAAAGACACCGGTTACAGCGGTTGTGTGAAGTACCACCTAAGGATCTCATAGAAAGCGTGAATGCAGCAGTGAGGGCAATACCTACCACCACAATCACTGAAACCAATGAGCTGATATACACTTCAGCAGCAGTGATCCTAGAGATGCTTGGCTATAAGAGCAACCATGGGAGCCATGGACAATACCCACCATGGAAAAGACGGTTGGAGGCTAAGATCAAGGCGGCTCGGAGAGAAGTGAGTCAATTAACAGAGGCCCAGAGAGGTGCAATGAAAAGACCAGTACCCAGAAAGTACAGCCAGATGACCATACCTGAAGCACTCGAAACTGCCAAACAAAGGCTCCAAGCCCTGGCCAGCCGCCTACAGAGGTACACTAAAGAGAATGAAGCCAGAAGGGTGAACAGGCTGTTCGCAACACAACCTGCGAAGGTGTACGCTCAGTGGCAGGGTAACAACAGGGGAGCAGATCCACCGAGGCTGGAAACTGAACAGTTCTGGAGGAACATATGGGAGAAGGATGCAGCACATAACAGAAGTGCACAATGGCTGGTGTCCCTGAGAGAGGAGCACAGCCACCTCCCAGAACAGAACTCAGTTACCATCACAGAGGCAGACATCCGAGAAAGCGTCTCAGGTATGAAAAACTGGACAGCACCTGGCCCTGATATGGTCCATGCCTACTGGCTAAGGACACTCACATCACTCCATGAGCGCCTAGCAGCACAAATGAACCAGCTGCTGAGAGATGGGACTCACCCAGAATGGCTAACCGAAGGGCGAACGGTCCTGATCATGAAGGACCCTGTCAAGGGTGCAGTCCCCTCCAACTACCGGCCAATAACCTGTCTCTCCACAACATGGAAGCTCATGTCAGGCATCATTGCGGCTAAGATAAGTGGGCATATGGAACAATTCATGAGCACAGCACAGAAGGGCATTGGTAGGGACACCAGAGGAGCCAAAAACCAGCTCCTGGTTGACAGAACAGTCGCCCAAGACTGCCGGTCACGACACACCAACCTGTGCACAGCCTGGATTGATTACCAGAAAGCCTACGACTCAATGCCACACACATGGATCATGGAATGCTTGAAGTTGTACAATATCAACAGGGCTCTAAGGGACTTCGTTGCAAACTCGATGGGAATGTGGAAGACCACCCTTGAGGCAAATGGCAAGCCGCTCGCACAAGTGACCATCAAATGTGGTATCTACCAAGGAGATGCTCTGTCCCCACTACTGTTCTGCATAGGCCTCAACCCTCTAAGCCAAGTAATTGACCAGACTGGCTATGGATACCGCCTCAGGAACGGAGCAAAGATCAGTCACCTCCTCTACATGGATGACATCAAGCTGTACGCCAAGAGCGAGAGAGACATCGACTCTCTGATCCAAACAACCAGGATCTACAGCCATGACATCGGGATGTCATTCGGGCTCGAGAAATGTAGCAGGATGGTGACTCGGAGAGGCAAGGTAGTCCACACAGAAGGGATCTCACTCCCAGAGGGAACAATAGCAGACGTTGAGGACAGTTACAAGTATCTCGGTATACCACAGGCAAATGGCAACCTCGAACAGGTGACGAGGAAAGCGGCAACTGCCAAATACCTCCAGCGAGTAAGGCAGGTCCTAAGAAGCCGGCTCAATGGCAAGAACAAGGCCCGGGCAATTAACAGCTACGCCCTGCCAGTGATCAGATACCCTGCAGGAATAATCAGGTGGCCAAAGGAAGAGATTCAGACCACGGATGTTAAAACTCGAAAGCTCCTTACCATGCATGGCGGGTTCCATCCCAAATCCAGCACCCTGAGACTGTACGTAAGCCGTAAAGAAGGAGGCCGAGGACTAGTGAGTGTGAGAGCCACTGTCCAGGACGAAACATCCAAACTCCATAACTACATCATGGAGAAGGCCAAAACGGATGACGTACTCAGTGAATGTCTCAGGCAGTGGCGAGATGAGGAGGTGCTGGAGGAGAGCCCATCATGGGAGAACAAGCCCCTACACGGCATGTACCACCGGAGCATAACAGAAGTGGCTGATCTCAAGAAGTCCTACCAATGGCTAGAAAGGGCTGGCCTACAGGACAGCACAGAGGCACTCATCATGGCTGCACAGGAACAGGCCCTGAGCACCAGAGCGATAGAGGCCCAGAAATACCACACCAGACAAGACCCAAGGTGTCGGTTGTGCAAAGAGGCACCTGAGACGATCCAACACATAACTGCAGGGTGCAAGATGCTGGCAGGGAAGGCCTACATGGAACGCCATAACCAAGTGGCTGGCATAGTGTACAGAAACATCTGTGGAGAGTATGGGCTGGAAACCCCAAGGTCTAAGTGGGAAACTCCTCCAAAGGTGGTGGAGAATGAGCGTGCGAAGATCCTGTGGGACTTCCAGATACAGACCGACCGAATGGTAATGGCAAACCAACCTGACATCGTGGTGGTAGACAAAGGGCAGAGGACAGCCGTGGTGGTGGACGTGGCAATTCCAAGCGATGGTAACATCCGGAAAAAAGAACATGAAAAGCTTGAGAAATACCAAGGTCTCAGAGAGGAGCTGGAGAGGGCCTGGAGGGTAAAGGTGACAGTAGTGCCCGTGGTGATCGGTGCACTCGGGGCAGTGACCCCGAAGCTAGATGAGTGGTTACAGCTGATCCCCGGAACAACCTCGGACATCTCGGTCCAGAAATGTGCAGTGCTAGGAACAGCAAAGATACTGCGCAGAACCCTCAAGCTCCCTGGCCTCTGGTAGAGGACCCGAGCTTAGAGAGGGATAACCGCCCGCGGAGGGCCAAAGGTGAGTGGACAATTATTTATTTTTATATATATATATCCCCCTCTCCACCTCTTCTTAATAATTTTTCTAATCTGTCACATCACAGCTAGTACTACAAAAAAGCTGGTCAAAAATAACCGTGTTTTAGCAGTGAGTCTTCCAAGGGCAAATGGATGTCTACTAAATTATTACTGATGTCGATGGATTTATCTGGAGAGTCTGACGCAGGTGCTGAGGAGCTGTGAGTGAGCATTGGGCTGAGAACTATTTCTACAGTATATGTGTTTTAACTTAACACTGTTTAACAAGTCTGACTGTGCTAATGTATGCAGTGCTTTGGCTGAATGTGAATGCTAAAAACAAACTGCTGTATTCCCCAGGATTACCTAAAGTCACAGTTCCACTTCCATGAGATTCAATTACAGTGTACAACAAAGATTTGTTTTGCTTGTATGTATATACTGTATTCAGTTCTATGGCAGACACACCAACGATCTGAATAAATACTAAGCCTTTTACACATGAGAATTCTGTTAATTAGACTTTATGTTCTTATTTAATCAAATGAGATTATCATCTTAGAAACAAAGCAATGTAATCATTTGTCAAGACATGCTTCATCATGGAGCAAATTTCAGAAGTACAGGGCTCACAGAGGGCTGAGCAAAAAGCTTTGGATTCACCTAAAAAAGATCAGGGAATCAAACAGGAAATGCACTAATAACAACACATACAGTAGGGGGTCCATTGGAGGCGGGATGACCAATGTTCATAAATGTTCATTAATGTCCATTCATTTCCCAGATCATGACTTTCCTTAGACTGCATGGCGCCGTAAAGATGGCGCCGTGGCAAGAGCTCTGGTGTGTGTGTCGTCTTCTCTGTCTGGTGCACACCGGGGTAGTCTTGCACAGTTTTTCCTATGTGGTTTTACTGCAAATGGCAAATAAATGAATCTGAATCTGATCAGCAAGGAAAAAATAAAAAATAAAAACCAGTGGGAAAGAAGTGAGAAACCTCTCGGAGGCCCATATTGAGAAAGAGAGAGATCTGCTTCTGACGGACGGAAAGAATATAGATCCAGGACTCAGGCCAGAAAATGAGTACTGCAGCTGTGCGGGACTGAGGCAGCTCCCAGGCAGGGAGGGGGATGCAGCAGAGGAGTCCAGGCCAGGGGAGACCAGTCCACAGGTGCAGATGAAAGAGGTGCACATATGTTAATTCACATAATGCTTTCTGATCCGTAATACAGAGAAACGTGTGCAGGAACATAATTTCATCCATCGATAAGTGATATGAGATTTCACGACTCTATATTTTTTAATATATTTCTCAGAATCTGGATACAGAATGATTCATACTCTTATGTTGGATAATTTTGTGTTGGGTTCAACTCTAGATTATTGATAAATATTGCAGACTCCACAAGAAGGCTGTGTCAGATGATGCATAATTAACTGACTCATTGGCTGTTTATTTTTCTTGTTTTGCCCAGACCAAAACATTGACATTTTTGAAGACATCTTGAGAGAAGCTGATGTGATCCCAGTGTGTTTCACAGAGCCATGGGGGCTGCTGCAGTGAAAATAATCTTAACAGTTTGCTTTTGACTCCAACCCCACGACAGCATGCAAATGAAGTAGCAGCTTCAAAGAGATGGCCATTTCCTCATGCATATGAACACTTTATCCACTGGCATGTGATCAGAGGACCGCACAAAACAAACAATAATAGATTTTGAATGCACTGAGAGGGAAAACACATAAATAAATAAGAAAACATGGATCTTTAGAAGCAACAGATGTATGTGAGGAAGAGATTAACATTCAAATGTCAACTGTTTTAGCACAGTATTTTGAAATGCATTTTTGAGCCAACTAGACTGGGGTAGGTGAAGAATTATGATCAAATAATGTCTTAAAAATGCCAACACTGTTTTAATGTTCTAAATTGTTGAAATTACTACTGCAATTATTACCACATATAAAAATAAAAGCAAGACCAAAACGGATAGTTGCAGTGCTGATTCCAGTTTCTTTTCTATTTCTTTGCATTTTGCTTTGGGCTTTACTAATAATCAAAAACCAGCTCTTTATATCCCAAAATATTACACAGGACACATGACACAGCTGAAACCTTCGTATTCACATACCCACACATTTTAGCATCACATATATTGGAAGAAGAATTATCCCCTCCCAAAATAGTAACAAACGTGAAAATAAGCAGCTTAATAAAAATTTGCACAATATCCTATTTCAAAAGAAGGATTTGTTTTGGGCTAGGGTTATCAGTTCGTTACATGCAGGGTCTTGCTTTTGAACTTGGGGCCAGTATGATCAGCTGAAGGAGGTAAAGCAGCCGCAGTCAACACTTTTGTTTAGTGGAACATTTGAGCTGTCTGTTTATGTTTACTGCTCTGCCTGCCGCCCTGTGTATAAGTGCATTTGCCCCTCTCTGCACTGATCGAGAACTATACCAGGATATAACACCCTAATCTTCCTAGTCTAGACATGTTGAAGTAGTGTACTCAATGTTTTAAGATGTTATTTTGCAAAACATTTCAAAGTGTTTTGGCCCTGGAGACGATGGAATGAGCTGGAGAGTTTTCAATTTGATGGAGTTAGGCTAAAACCAGAGCGATCTTAACTTGGTCATAATTTTTTATATGTTTTAATTAAATAGCAGTTTGAGCAGAGCCCAAGCCACCTTAGTTGGCTCCTCTCAATGTGGAGCAGCAGTGGCACAACTCCAAGCTCTTAACCCGAGCTCTAAGAGAATGCCAATGTTCTATAAGTCATTTACCAAAACTGACCAGTAAATTGACTCGCTCTTCGCCACAGATCAATGCGGATAGGAAAGGCCACATGGAGGGCAGACCCACATTGCCAGACCACGTAGGGCTGGCCACCGGGTGCTTGGAGGCCTGGCTCCTGGCATAATTCCCCAGGAACGCAGTCAGGCAGGTGTACCCTATTTTTATATACCAATTGATTCATCCCAAATATTTGAGTGTTGCATTGTGTTGTGAATTAATGAATCTCAGCATATTGGTTTGCCCTTTGCCAAAAGTCAATAAATGGTTAGTGATGCAATTCCATTCCAAGGCGGTTTGTTGAAAAATAAAACTGAGTCAACTTAATATGAGCATAACTCAGAGTTAAGGAACCCAAGGGTAAACCCAAGGTTACCACAGCATGTGGTAAGGAATAAAATCAAAGCAAACCTCTCTGAACCAGCACAGGTTGGATAGTTTTAAATACAGATACATCCCCATCAACCACATGATTTCAAATGATCATGCTGAGATTCAAGGATATTTGTATTATTTGTAAATTCCACAGCAAGGTAAACACGTGTAATTATAGTGCTCATATGTACTTACCCTCACTCTCTCCTGCCTGTCCCTCTGCCTCTTCCTCTTGTCCCGCAGCATCCTCCTCCACTCTTCCTCCATCTCGGGACAGGGAGGAAGGTCCTGCTCCAGCCGCCTCTGGCATCTGTCCATCTGAAAAAAGCACACGAGGCCAAGAAGAAACACAAGATTCACTTTGTATTCTCGTCACTCGGAGCTCTCCACACCGCTGCCCCAAACGTCTTTATTTGTGTCCACACTCAACAAAAACAGATGGTGGGATTAGTGCGGGAGAGTGGGAAAAGTTGTATCTCTAAATGTAGTGTTTGCAAGCGAGTTGGAGGAAGCTGCAGGCAAACAGCATCTGCAGGGGTTCCTAAGGTTATTCCACATTTCAACTAAAACATTTATAAGAAAGTCTGACACTGAGAGGAGTGTTGAGGGAGAAATATTATGTGTTACCTAAACAAGATGGTTTAACAATGAGATTCCTTATTGACAATTACATTGTCTATTCAACTATTCATTCACTGTTTCAACATGCGTGCTGGTCTTCATGGACAAAACATTTCCAACAAAGAATTAATCAGAACTTTTGTTACTTATCTTTTGGATTAACGCTATACCAAACAAATCTAGTGTTATGGCATGTTTTTTACAGGGAGAGTGCAAAATACACATTAGCCATGCATTGTACCAGGCTAAACACTCAGTAATTAAATGTCAATGTTGAAATAAACATGCTGACCTTAGTATTCCTCGCTAAATGCTGCTAAGATGCTGCTAAGATGCTCCACAAATTGAAGGATGAAAAATAACTTTTTACCTAACTACAGTTAGCTAACTAAAGATATTTTTAAATTCTAATCAAACTGTTTACATTCATCATGAGTGTATAGTTGTCATAGATACCAGTGTCACAATTCATTAACATCATTCTTCATCAACACCTAAATAGAAAAGAAAAAAAAAACTTGTTATTCAACTGTTCTATAGTGGTCTTTTTTTATATATATATATAAATGCATTTCTCATAATTTAAGTAGTTTTTCAAGTTTAGACAGTTATAATAAAATGTCGTCAGCAAATGCCGGCAATAGTGTGGAAATAAACGGTTCTATTGTTCCGCCTTTCCCCTGTGTGTCAAGTTTGCTTAATAAATACATCCAAAGGACAATGGTGAAAAAACATTCATAATTTTTACTGACTTTAACATTGAATGGTTGACACTTCAATGTTAAAGTCAGTACTGTGATCTACATTCAAAATCTCAGTTGCTTCTGCCCTGGATCTGTGTCTGTTGATCTACAGTATGTTCTTATCTTGTATTGTGTAAAACACACATTTAAAATAAAAGATGAAAAAAAAAACGTTTAACATAAATACCAAAATTATAACAATCGACTCTGGTGGTTATTCATGTGGCTATTGACCCCTAACAAAAGCACAAAGCAATGTCACAAAAACAATCATTACTGCATAAAACTAAGTCCCAATGTGGGGAGTGCAGTGTGTGACCTGCAGTTCTTTGTCCTTGATGTCCTGCTGCAGAATCAAAACCAGAGCCTGTCTCGAGGCCAGGTGAGCTGAAGTCGCCATCAGTTTGTGGCTTGTGTCGACGATATTGGCTCGCATCTCATTCAACTGCATCAAAGCAAAGAAAAAAGGCATATTACACATAGTTAAAGAGACATGAGTGACTAACGTCCCAACACACAGCGGATGCTGCTGCTACCCGTGTGAAGTTTATAGAGAAGTGTGGAGGACAATACAGGCCAGAGGACTGCTATACCAGATAAAGTCAGATCTATGTGTTTGTCTCATGGATCTATTATAACTAACAACTGGATAGCTTATTACTAGCTTGGAGCTGAAGGACCCACGTGCTCGGGGGATTCTCGCGGTACTGCAGACTAAACAAGACTAAATTCACGTGGGCTACCCAGAAATTTTCCCTGTGGAACTCAATGTAAACTAATACAGCTCAACCTCAGCTGACAGAGAACCTACAGCTTTCATAAAGGTCGGATTTTGTGGGGTTTTAGTGTCCCTGGTCATCCTGAACTTTTTCTCCTGGTAAATCCTTCGTTTTTCTTTAAATCCACACTTTAGTGTCACAAACTCTGCCCGTTTGGCACCCGCTCCAACTCTAGCTCCAACTCTAGCTCCGCTCTGATCAGCAGCGGACCAGACGATGCCCAAATATAGGCAAGTTCCAATAAGCTTTTGGAGCCCATGCCGTCACATGTGCCACTGAGCACAAACCATTTATTTGGATCTTAGATCGCCTTGGAGCACCTTAACCCAGAAAAAAAGTTTCTAAAATGGAATGCTAATAACTAACTCTAGAATGAAAAATATTGTCATTAAAGGTTGGGTACCTAAATAATAACATAAATGATAGTGAAAACTAGTGAAGGTACAGGGTTAGGGTTACATCTATTATGACATATATTTCATGCAGCTAAATAGGTACCTCCAATGCAACTGAAATTGTTGCCTAAAAACACTCACCTCGAACTATTATGTACTTGGATCATGTTTGGGCGAAAAGTTACAAGTTTGAAAGATATTGACAGTTGAAGTCAAAGATACAGTAGGTGCAAGTTCTTGTAATTTGTAATGCTCATTGAACATGGAGCTCACGCTGCTAAAACAGATTTTTACTTTATTATAGTGAAAGAAGAAGATATAAGAGCTGCATAATGAGCCTTTAACTTGAAGCCTCTTCTCTTCATTGAGAATCAGAGGTAGATAGGAAATAAAATAAAATTCACTATTGCTGCTTAACTTGATTGACGTGACAAATGATCACTTCCCCATGTTTATACAAAAAAATCTCTTTTTAGTTAGCTTGTTTAAAAACTACTAGACCTTATATAATTTCAACCGATTATAGTTCAAAATGGGGGTGTAGAGCCAGATGCATTCCATCTCACTCTCACATTTTCAGCTGCAATCTCAATTGTATATTTTGTAATCCAACAAAATTGCGGTAAAATATTAAAAGCTTATCTATGAGGCCAAACCACTCAATTCAAACGTTGTCTTATTCCAGAAGAAATTGCTCCCACCTTCCAAATCTAGGGTCTGACTTTTATCTTTGTCTTTAATGTATTTTATTATATCCATATACAAAAAATAATTGTCATACCACATTATGACAGTTTGAAGATAATGCAATAGTGGACTGTGGTATGACAAATATATCATTAATTTATTTACATGTTACTTTCAAAAGGTCTAACTCAAAAATGATACTACCTTCTTAGCCTGCGTGAGTCGGTCCTCTTTGCAGTTGCCCACGTGCTCTCTCAGGGGCAATATCAGGCGGCTCACTTGACCTACGAGGAGCTTCTTTTCCAGGAACTGTTGCTCACGCTCGGCTAGCCTCACCTCCAGCTGCACGTGCACACACAATCTTTACACCTTGGATCAAAGCTTTTAAAACAAAATGACTTCCCCTTAAATGGCAACAAATCAGTGTACTGAATAACAGGCTTGTCGTCAGTCTCACCTGTTCGATCTTTTTCACCATTTCAGCTGCTGTGGGGTCTTTGCCTTTGAGCTCTTTGTAATCTACTGCTCGATTCAGGCCTTGCAGCGTCCTGTCTTGGGCTTCGGACAACTGACAGACACACGTGAAACTTACATAAACATCAAAAGGCACAGCACTCAGGAGCTCACAAACCTCTAAGGCATCAGTTCAGCCTTCAGCAAATATAAAATATGCAATAGTGGACTGAGCGGGTTAGACAGGACGGTTCAAGCATTAATAACAATTTCCCTTTTGTGGGATATTAGTTTGTATCTACTGTAATACAATACATTTACCTTCCTTGGATCCTACACCTGCTGTGTAGGATCTGATGAATGGACGTGTTGACCAACTGAAACGGGAATTTAGACTTAGTCGAATAAAGACCTATAATAACCCCCACCCACCAGTGGGGATTAAAAATACTGGGTGAAGGTGAGCAGAATGATCCATGATACCTGCAACTACAAGATCTGCTGCACTGAAACAATAAGAGGTAATAATTGCTTGAATCAAGTGTTTTTTATCTTAATTGGAGTACATTCTAACTGTCTTAAAACCAGATTTGCCAAAGGGATAAGCCGTTTAGTCTTATTTCAAGTGCTGTTGCAATATATTTCTCATTTAATAAAATGTAAAATGGAAGCGCTTGGTAAATTTGTTGACAGGAAAGAGATCTCCACTATCTTAGAAGGTTTTAAATCCATTATTGTATGGACGGACAATTTTACTCTGAACGTATATCTAACTATATGATAACTGTATTTTTATAGTTGTCATTTCAAAGCCATGCTGCCTAATGAAAACAATACAAGTAATTTCCCATAGGACACTTGACATGACGGGATGAGTAAATAATATGAGTTCAGGAGCAGACCTGAAAAATAAATCTCCCACTGCCGGCCTTGTCATGAGGTTGTCTCAGATATGGCATACACTGAGGATTAAAAAAGAAAGAAAAAAAACTCCCATCGCATTTCTCAGCAAAATGCACTGCCTATAAGAGCTCCTGGAAGGTGACGAGTCACTGGCAAAATGTGATAAGAGAAAGCAAAATTCAAAAACGCCATGGGATCCCTCTGAGACCCCAGGTTTTTTGGGGGGTTCTTCCAGACAGAAATTAAGAGAAGTGTTGAAAGTTAAGAATCAAAGGAAACACTATGGAGAGAAAGCGTATTAAAATTCAGGGCCACACACAGAGCTAAACAGCGACAGTGTCTACGGGGCTTAAAGGGCTTACTCTTTTCGATAGCGTCTTTGATGGACATAATTTACATTGGCTCAACAGAAAGCCAATGTGCTGATGGGAAATATGGGTCACTTACAAAACTAAAGCACGTCGCTTTAGTGCCCTCAAGACATTTGAGGGAATAAAAGCAGCAGGGTTAAGCAAAGAAAATGAAGAGCAAGAACCAACAAGAATAAAGTGTCTCACACTATTTCCATTCCCCGGAAGGAAAGGTACCTGAAAAGCACTGGACCATAAAATGCTTTGTACTAAATAAAGGCACTTCAATAAGGCGGAGACTTAAATAGTAGGGTTGTCACTAACAGTTTATCATAGTCGACTAGTCAACAAAGTCAACGATTCACTTCTGTTAAAAGAAGCAACTGAACTGCATGTTTAATTTGTATATACAGTAAGTCTAAATAATACTAGTGCAGTGCTGTGGTGTCCAAGTGCATACTTCCAGGCCGAGGGTTTGGTTGATTACACCTACTCCAGGGTGCAGTTCAAGAGCTACTTTTCTAGTCACCACCTCCAGAGTAATGGATTGAACAAGGCACCGTAAACCAAACCCACAGCTTTTATAAAGGTTGGATTTTGAGGATATTCTAGTGTCTCTTGTTATCCTGAACTTTATTCCTTGTTTGATTCTTCAGTTTTCTATAAATCCACACGTTAGCACAACAAACTCTGTTACTTCCTGCTCAGGCTCCGCTCTGATTGGTCAGAACGCTGCCATGCCTCTCTGTGCATGTGCATTCGAGCCACACACACATGTTTGGCGCAAAGCATCATGGGTTCACATCCACTGCGCAAAACCAGGAGGACCAGATGAGTTCCGCTAATCTTTCGGTGCCCATGGTGTTCCTATGAGTCACTGAGCGCAAGCCATTGATTTGAATAGGCCGCCATTTTGGATCATCAGAGCTTGGTCCACCCTTACAGCCACTGGGACACTACAATGTAAAATATGCAATCATATAATAAAACAAATTCACATAAAAAGTTGACATTTTGTTTGATATTTGGTGGTATCTTGTAATAATACACACCATGTGTTTATCTTATGAATTTGACCTTGAAGTCAGAAATCTCAGAATTGATTGGCATTTGCATTTATTAAGCGTGGCTAGCTCCGATTTACAGTCTATGGACAGTAGTCGCAACGAAGTAACCATCTTTTATAGGAAATAAATGGAAGCTCAGAATCACAAAAATAGTACAACTTGTGTGTCTGGTATATGCAGTCAGCACAAATGAATCCGAATATATTAATAAGTCACAATATTACACGGCTCCTCACAGCAGCAGCAGAACGCTCCATTGATCTGAATGTAATTTCAGAACGTTCAACCAGTCATTATTTCTTGCTAACCGACCTCTCAAAACAATAATGACGCTGCCCATGGCAATGCAACCTCTGCTTGTAATTCAGATGTGTAGATTACTCCGCAAGTAGTTCCGGCCACTCCGGAGCTAGCCACGCTCAATAAACGCAAATACCAATCAATCAACACATTTAAATGTTAATCGGATACATGTACATTCTTATTACACATGCATGGAGGTTTTCAGAAGTATCTGTTAAGGTTTATGATAAAAATACTGTTTTAATGCGAGAAAAAGCGATCGCGAAAAACCCAGAAGTAGATTCCTGGACATTTTAGGACACAGTTGCAGAGGATCGAATTATGGATTTAGGTTAAGTTTATGTTCGGGTCGCTCACCGCTGATGTTCAGAATTCTTTGTTCAGTTTTCATGCAGTTCGAGAGCGTTCTAGTTTGGAAGTTGCTAGCCTAACTGTTACTCGCATAGCCACAGGAAAGCCTTTGGGAGCCATTTTATTTTCTGTCATTAAATACATTTTTTGGTATTCCTAAAAGTGGACTGAAGTTTATTTTGTGTGTTCTGTTGGTACAAAGCCGAATAATGCCGGGATAATGTATAGTACGCAGGTCATTATCGGAAAATAAGTACCGACAGGGCGAAGCGGACCCCGATGCTCAGCGGAGGGGTCAGGGCGGAAGCAGATATACATTATCCCTTACATATTCAATAGCAAATACAATGTTAGATAATGCTGTATGAAAAATATTTGAGGTAAACACAAAAATGAAACATTGGTCCGTCTTGTTATTTAATAAGATGCAAAACAAAGCAGTACAGACTCATTTATATACATGTGTCTGCAGCATGATCAAATGCTGACAGGAAGTGTAGAGATACAATTCATGTCAGAGAGAGGACAAAAGAGAAGATGAATATTGTGTAAACAATATAAGACTCAAAGATAAGACAGATGTTGAGTTAGCTTGGTGCAGTTTGTTCAATGCAGTTGTTCTGGCCTAGAATGTGTTATGAAATTCTCTCCTCACATCCACATGTGAGTTTAGGAGTCAAAGATGGTGTAGAACAAAGTGATGATTCCCATTTGGCTGTGGCGTTCATACATGAGATTATGCAGACGGACAGCAAGCCTAATTAGAGGAGACTGAGGGTTCCGCTCTTTGAAACTTCCGTTTGACGTCATGTGATTTGAACTTTAAAGGAGTCATGTGGCCGACGGGAGGTAGTGAGAGGGATGCTGCTCAAACAAGTTTTTGTTATTATTTCCAAAATATAAAAAAAGGGTTTTCCATCATCCTTCCCAAAAAACATTGAAAAATATGTATTGAGTAAACGAAATCAGTGATATAATCACTCATAATAGGACCACATTGTCACAACATAAAAATGCAAAAAAGGAAAGTATACAACATGCTTTTTAATTTTAATTATCAAGAATATAAAACATTAAAAAAAATTAATTTCATCACAGTAGGCAACCGAAACAAAACAAGCAAATTATCTGGGACCAAAAATTCAAGCAAGCAAAATACCTGCACCACTGCTGGTTTTAATTTCTTCCCAATATTAGATACATTCATTGAATTTAAAATCAGATTTTAAAATTTGCTAAACAGTAGTGTATAACAGTCCGGTCTCAAGAAACCACATTCAAAATCAATACATAGTGGTGATTATATATTTTGCCCAAAGACATCACAAAATATGAAACGCCTAAACTTTTCCTACACATCAATAATATGGACCACAGTCTAAAGTTCACAGAGAGGCTTTTATGGCTGTGCTTCATTTTTTCCCCATCAGCACTAATACAAGGCATAAGGGCTCATTGTCTGCTGTCCACACGATTAGATTTCCTAGCTCCAAATGATCAATTCACTTTTCAACTCTTCCACATTATCTCACTCTCCGAACAACTTTCCCTGGCCGTGAAGCATCCTCTGTACTTCCTTACACGTCACTATGACAACCCTAAACCATTTAAACTGTTCGTGATGGATGGACTGCGGTGCGTCTCTGTCACTCTCTCTTCCTTTGCTGCTTTTCAATCAATTTTTTTCGACCGTCTATTGTGGCTGTGACTCCGGTGCTGAAGTCGGCATGCCTACTTCTTTCCCACAGCGTGGAGTTGTTTGTCCTTTCTCTTTGTGTGTATCCGTCTCTGTGTCAGCCTGTGTTTTCTGCTTCAATGCACTTCATCTGACAATCTCACAGAACGACTCCTTTCTCTCCTTATGAACACAGTAAAAACTCAGCAACACGCGACAACATCCTCAGAAGAATATCATTTGCATCCTCTTTGCATAATTTGCTCGTACTCAGTAGCTGACTTAACTGCTTATTAGAGGAAGGGATTCATAATAAAGAGAAATTATGACCTTATTTGTGGAACGCTTTTTAAAAGAAGGTTATAAAGTACTTCCCAATTAAAATACATCACAGCGAGTAGGGGTAGATCAGCGAAGCAGAAAGGTCAATAAACTGACCGTAAAGTTGTTAAGGTTAGCCGGGGGTAATTATTGGAGCATGTCAATAAAAAAGATGAGCTGTATCTCTGTCCCTAATAAGAATTAATCACAGTCATACTTTGCTTGTATAAAGCTGAAGATGTGGAAAATAGACGGTGAATACAATTTAACTTCAATTTAGTACAGACACTGCCATGAATCAGGAACACCTCAGACCAGAAATGGACACCAGTTCTGGTAGAAAAAACAAAACAAAAATGTGTTTATTTTTTTCATCACTGGAATAGTTTAAAAAATGTTGGTCTCAACTGATATACAGGATGTTTAATGGCGAGTAAAAGGTGTAATGTTATTATTACAGAAACCAGCTCTTTCTGGTGGAAGACCGTATTGACTCAGACCAGTGTCACTCGCCCAGAATAATCCCAGAAGCAACATCTGGTGAAAAGGGTGAGAATAATTTGGTTTTAGCAAGTGTTGTTTTTGGTTAGGTATTATTGCTATTGCCAAGATTATTCATATTGTCTTAGTGCCACAACATTGAGAGAGGTATCCCTACTTCTGTACTATTTATATTCAGACACATTTAATTCAGACAAAAATACTGTCAAAAAATTCCGACAGTATTTGAATGTCCAGTTTTCATTGTACAGTATGTATTCATATCAGTTAATAATGCTGATACATTTTGAGATATATTAGTATGTGATATATTACACTCTTTTAGCAATAATTTCTACTAGAGTGGAATAATGAATCCATTAGAACAAACGTAACATTTGTTTTAGAAGCTTGGCCAAGATGCACCCCGCCAGGACAACCATGTGTCCACCGTCTGTAGAATGATTTTAATAAAGCCATTGCCATCCAAAATGATCCCTGAGGGGAACGTGCCCCATCTTTTGAAAGTGGTCCAACGCAAGAGAACAAGGGGATAGAAAGTCAAGCAAGAACAGTGTCCTCAAAAGTGAATGCTCCAAAAGATATGTCCTAGAATGACACCCACTGTATAATAAGTACTATTGCATAACAGAAATTAGAGTACACACTAAAATGCAGTATTTATTTTGTTGTCAACGGTGTTGTATCTAATTTGCACAATTCGTGGTCTAATAAAGTATTTACAATTTAATCCAACTTTGTTCCCAGTGACAGCTTTTATGTGTGTGTGTGTGTGTGTGTGATGTGTGTGTGCTAGTTTTCATTTGTAAATTTGTCTGTGTAAAAAAGCTACATTTTGATCTCTGATTGGGTATTCTCCTTGAAAATAAAATCGTAAACATAAATACTATAAAGATCATGTCGTTTTGTTTTCAGTAAAGGTCAGATATGATTTGTAGATGTTGACGTACTATCTGGGGACAATGTACTTCCTTAATGACATTTACAACTTACTGCTATGCTAGTCCAAACACATTTCCATGAATGAAGTTACTTGTGCCTGACTTGAGAGATACAGTGGGGTCCGACTTGAGAGATACAGTGGGGTCCTTACTGTTTAACTTTGGGTTAGATTTTCTGTGTGTTGTGCATTGTAAACAGACTGGAGCAGGACTTCAGACTGGGACAGACACACAATGACTCACTGCCTTTGGGACTGTGCGGAATGTCACAATCTCCGTCCGGTTGTAAATCTCCAAAGCCATGAAGTGTGACATCTAAAAATATACGTACGTCTGACTTCGAGGGTGATACAGAGTTGGCAACAACATTTGCTATAGAAATTGTCATTAAAGGGCTGTTTGAATAACGCTTTATCATTTTCAGTTGTGTACGTGCCCAAAGGTGTTGATGTGCCAGCCACTCATAAACAGGTAATAAAATCAGAATCCAACTGGAATTTATTTGTGAGCAATTAAACATTTTCAGTACAAATGAAAGCCTCCGAGTATATTGAACTTCAATAGTCGCCCAGATGGACCAATCTGTCTCTGTCAAAAATCCCCATCAAAGAGAGAAGAGCCTGTGTCTGCAATGAACAGATAAACTGGTCACAGATGAATACAGATACACAATATATATGATAAATTGACAGCGAGACAGTAGCATGGAGATTGAATTTCGCATAGAGAATGAATTTGCGGAGTGAATAAAGTTGGCAGGCCTCACGCATAAGGGCAGACCCGCATAATTCACTTTTGGTGCTCTGGGGGGCAACATGGCAGCACACAGAAAAACAAGTCATTTGGCAGATGATTCGCAATTTACAGAGAGAGGAACAGGGCGACATTTGGAGCGACAGGGTAAGTGGACGGGGGGATTGGGCAGAAAACATGACGCGCTAATTGAAATTGTACTTCTTTTTTTTGTTGAGGTTTGAACGATAAAGACGAGTTCAAAAAAATAAGGGTGTGCGAGAGGAATTTACTACAGAAAGTGCAGCCAATTGTGCGGTCAATCACAAAGGGAGCGAGAGAGAGAGAGGGCCGTGAGCGCCAACGAAAGCAGAAAAGTGGAAATGGAAAAAGGAGACTGAAAGGGGCACCCACGAAATAGATGAAGTTAGTTCTGCTGTAACGAAAATGAGAGGAGTGTGGGAGATTGAAAAATGTCAGACTGAAATAAAAACGCAAAGTATTAAATTCCACAAAAGATTTTCTGCCATCCTATCTTTTATCATCAATTCGACTGCTTCGTTATAACATCAGTTGTCATTGAGTTTGGGCAAATAAGTCAAAAAGGGTTCTGTTTTTGTTTTGTTATTATTACACTTGCAATTAAACTTGAATAAATTCAGAAGCAAGTGTTTTAAAAATCTTGTGCAGTGTTAAGCAGAAAAAAATATATATACACAAGAGGATCTAATTAACTCCAACCTAATATAACCAGACATAATAACACAATAATGATGTAATTGCATGATTCTTAAATTGCTGTCTAAATGAAGTGATGACTTCATGCACCCTTCTGTGAGAGTAATTATAATAGAAAATAAAGCCAACTTCTCATGAAATATGTCACATCATGATTTTTATTAGATGGATATATTCTGTTCATTGTATCTAAATAACCATGTTTGCATTCATTCACATTAATGTCGTGTGGAAACCGGTAATGTAAACATGTGATTCTTTTTACATACAATAAATGTTTATTAATAAAGTTGTCATCATAGATCTTTCTCTATGTAGTTCTAATGTTTTTACGTTAGTTATTCTTTACCAAAAGAATTTCTATTAGCTCAATATTGACAGAGATTATCCTTTTAAATTATAAATATTACTCTATACAAAGTCAAAAGTTTAATTTCAGACGGTGAGAAAACAAAAAACTTTACACAGTTTATGTCAACCTCCAGTTTCCAATGTTTGAATATCATTACATCGTCTTTAATAGGAAAACCAAAATGGAAATGTAACCGCTATCCCTGCTAGGCCTCCCTAAAAATGATCTAAAATGCTTAAGTATCAGGACAAGTGTGGATTACTGTCCCTCTTTGAATCTGGCTCATTCATTGAAGCTGCTGCATAAAGGGAGCAATGGTAAGGACCACTGTGCATCTCACGCTCTCTTGGTCAGGACTTTGATTTAACTTTCAGTGCATGTTTTGGGTTGACTGGGTCCTTTATCCTGTAAGTATTTACAGTTACACTGAACGAAGCAGTATAAGTTTAATTGTATAGCACAGTTCATACAAAGAGCTAAAAGAGCTACAGAAAGCAAGAAAGGAAACTGTAAAATCATACTCGAAAAACACAAATATTTACAGTATATTAAGTGATGAGTGTGCATCTTTGTACAATCTTTTAGTTGCATGCACAGCTAATCAGAACATTGTCAAAGTAGAAGCCTATTTTCAGGAGGACAGGACTGATACATATTTATGCTGCATGCATCTGAAATGTTTAGTCTGGGCATCAGCAGAAGGGCCGACTTGGTTCATATGGCACTACCACAAAACACCTCTTGTCAATTCTGACAACGACACCATGTATTTGCTACTGCAAGCTTTGAACTGCCATCTCACAACCCTCCCAAAATGTCTCTTGTTGCTTTGTGCCTACACTAAAGTATCAGAAAAATAACACTCAAAAGTGTTTGTGGGAACAACATGCACCACTAATGTTGAAAACTCCAGCAGCAGAAGACAAGCAGATGGAGCAAGAACAATTTCTCAAAGCAGCACATGGAGCAGTGAGTTTATCCAAAGACTTCAATGAGTCAGTTTCAAGGAAACTGCTGCTCCAAAACCACCACATACGTACCCGATCTTCAAACTACAAATCATGTCTTCATTCTTGCCATTTTTATGCATCTTCTTTATGTTTATGTTTTTTTGTTTACATTGATTTGCAAGTTCCATGTTAATCTAATTTAGAGTAAGCCTGTAAGATATATATATTTTTTGGATAGTTCCCATATTTCGCTCTTCTTCATTTTTCACAGTCCATTCCATGTGATAATAGATTGGATGATACACCATACAATACTCAAAACTTGTGAGATTATAGTATTTTCTTGCATAGAGGTGATTTTATCTCCATTGAAAGGCTGGAATCTGTACTTCTCTACCTGTTGTCACATACATCCAAAAATACATTTTCTCCAAGTTGACATGGGTCTATGGGTGGTAGACGTGGGATCACACTAATGAATACAGTCTATGGTAATGACCATCAGACTCGGAGAGAGGTTGCATGCACTGATCAGACTGCTTTTTTGGTTTCTCCCTTTTGTTAATCACCTTTAAATCTAGTTGTTGTTTCTGTTTCAAAAATGAAACAGAAAGAATTCTCTATAACTCAAGCCCGAGTGAATAAATGAAAATAGAAAATAACTAATTTGGGCATGTGTATGAAGACCAAATAGCACTGTAATGTAGCAGCGTAATATGGGACCTTTAAGTGCAAAAGGAGGCTCATAGATTGAGTCATGCGACGAGCAGTGTTAGACATAATGGTAAAAACGTTCTGTTTTCAGAATGCAAACAGAATGTTTTTACCATTAAAATATGTATTGCAAGCCTTGTTAGCTTGAGGAGAACTTTTCTATCTCTGCTAAACAGAAAATGTACGGCTCACGTCTGCAGTCTTAGATAAGTTAATTGGTAGCATAATGAAAATTATGTATTTTGACTGCCTTTAGGAATAGTAGAAAATTTTGTCATATGTATGTATACTTTATCTACATGCTACATTATTTTGTCTGTAAACCACATTTGTTAAACCTTTTTTATTGGGTTATGGTGAAATAAGTGTATTGTATTGAATTTAAAAGATAGCTTTATTTTTGGGCTCTGACTGATATCAAGATGAACACTGGAGCAAAACGCCTCTAGACCACAGTGCAAGTCCCTGTCCTTAAGATCTATACTGCAAATTCAAATAATATATCACATAAATGTCGGAAATAATAACACAAAAACTACAGGGACACTCACAGTTGGACAGTAGCCTGCAGCACTTTTGAACAAACGCACTTGCTTCCATGCATACAAAAGACTGACTCACAATCTGCCAAAATATTCCTAAAATTAGTCTCTGTTGCCAAATCTGTACCATCTGATCAGTATAGAAAGACACTGATTCTGAGAGTATATGGACAGTAAAACCCACTGAACGATAGATGCAAATTATGTTGAACAAGAATTGGGTCAAAAAAGTGGTGCATTCTATTACCTAAAGCTATGTCGTTTCGATTAACAATTCTATTCCCTTTTGAATGTGAATAAATCCAGTTTTTTCTTTCTAGTGTTCCAGTGTAATCATTGCACTAGTTTGACACCATTACACAGTGTACATTGTTAAGGGGAGCAGAACAATGTACACTAAGGAGAAGTGTAGGCTACATCATCAAAGAGATAATTGCGTCAATGTACTTTCTCTTTTCTTTCTTCTCATGTTTATAACTTTTAAGTACCTGGAAGTGCAGTGTTTGCCTCATCACTCATTGTTTAAATTCAATAATCCTATGTTAAAAAACTGTCCTTCATTTAGCATACAGTACATTATTTCCACATATAAGCCACAGGTTTTCTAAAGCCATTGTGAGTGGCTGCATAAACTTATGTGTGGCAAGGTTCTGAATGTGTGGTAAGGTTCTGAATGTGTGGTAAGGTTCTGCATGTGTGGTAAGGTTCTGCATGTGTGGCAAGATTCTGAATGACTGGTTCGGATCTGAATGTATGGTAAGGCTCTGAATGTGTGGTAAGGTTCTGAATGTGTGGTAAGGTTCTGAATGTGTGGTAAGGTTCTGCATGTGTGGTAAGGTTCTGCATGTGTGGTAAGGTTCTGAATGTGTGGTAAGGTTCTGAATGTATGGTAAGGTTCTGAATGTGTGGTAAGGTTCTGAATGTGTGGTAAGGTTCTGAATGTGTGGTAAGGTTCTGAATGTATGGTAAGGCTCTGAATGTGTGGTAAGGTTCTGAATGTGTGGTAAGGTTCTGAATGTGTGGTAAGGTTCTGAATGTGTGGTAAGGTTCTGAATGTGTGGTAAGGTTCTGCACGTGTGGTATGGTTCTGACTGTGTGGTATGGTTCTGACTGTGTGGTAAGGTTCTGCATGTGTGGTAAGGTCCTGAATGAGTGGTTCGGATCTGAATGTAATGGTAAGGTTCTGAATGTGTGGTAAGGTTCTGAATGTGTGGTAAGGCTCTGAATGTGTGGTAAGGTTCTGAATGTATGGTAAGGCTCTGAATGTGTGGTAAGGTTCTGCATGTG